TGTTTGGAGGGAGATAAAACTAACAGCTTTAGAATCAGCGCATAAAGGGCATGAACACAAAGCGCGGACCCGCCGACAGATCAGAATCAGCGAGCTGTCGGCTTTCAGCCCCGACCGTGTCTGTGCGGTCAGGTGAGAAAGGCGACATCTCACTGATTCTGATCCGCGGGTTGCGCTGTGTGTTTAAGTCTTTGTGCAGAATCCGTGTTCCTGCTCTCATTTACTGTCTTAGCTGTTTGGTGGTTGTTGAAATTTTGTGAGATTTCACCAGAGATTCTGGCATTTCGGGCAAAATAAATTTATATTAAAAAATCGATTCAGGATTTTAATGAATCGATTTTACGTTATCCAAGCCAGAATCGATTTTAATCGATAAATCGATTATAAAAACCCACCCCTAATTCAGATATATCTGCAGAAAATGAGTTTCAACTACAAGTTGAAACAACTCGTAACAAGTTCTATTTAAATAAGACAAATTTGTATTTTAAACAAAGAGGAACATCTACTTCATCTCATCTGTGAAATCAAAGAAAAATTTTTGTGACTCTGAGATTAGCTTATTATGTTTGTAACTCCTGATTTTCTTCAGCCTTTGTGTAACTCTCTGAAGTAAAACTAATTAATGATGATCCTGAAGTAGTAGTATCTGCTTTCCTTTCGTTAAAGATGCTCCAGTGTGTCCTCTGCTAAAGGAAGCATAAAAGCACCTTTGCTTACTCTTTAAAGAAGTCAGACAGCTCTTATTACAGCTGCCATGCAGATACTTCAGGGTCATTTCATTCACTCCAAACCTTTCTTAAACTAACTTGACTAACTTGACCGCAGTTCCAAAATTTAGGAAACATGGATGTTAGACAGGGAATGTTGGTAGATAGTAGGAAACAGGTAAGAGGAGCAAACAGGAGGTAATACAGGTGGAGGCAGGCAGGCAGAAAACTCCGCCCTGCACACCAACACAAAAACCAAGAGTTAAAAAAATAATATCATAAAATCTGAAACACATCATGAGATAAACAAAGTCAAACAGGACTCCAAACCCAGAGACGTCAACAAAGGGTTAATATAGTAAATTTAAGGCGGGTAACACTCTTTTTGCTCCCCTTAACTTTAAAAAATGAGATGGTGATTAATTTGGACCGTCGAGTGTAACTGGAGCGGTGTGATGATTGTCTTGGAATAACGAGGAATATCGGCTCGTGTGCCAGGGAACAGATTGGTGAGAATTCAGCTGAACGGATTTTCCTCTCTGACTGACACCCCAGCTGTCACTGCCGCAGCTCCAACACTGATAATTACTTCTCAAATGAGAATGCAGCCACTTCATGTGTATTCATGGCACTGGTCTCAGCTACAAGTAAAGTGCACTCTGCTCGTGTGTAGTTCAGTGGAATCACGGAAATTTGATGTGGTTTTGTTTGGTTCACTTATTCCTCAGGATGCCGTTCCACTGCAGGCCTTCGTCGCCCAGGCAGAAGCAGAGTTAGTTGGGATTGTCATCATCAAGGATGAGCAGGTACTAGAAGTCTGGTTTATTAGTAAAAGTGTGAAGTGTTTGACCATTTAAACCCCCATTCTGCCTTAAAGGAGCAAAAAGATTTCTAATAAAAGGTAAATGGATTTGCCAGCGAGCTGTTTTGAACACTGGCCTGGCTATTCACTGCTTCTCTGTCTAAAGAGCTGTGCTTTATATGATTAAAGTCTGGAATTTTTTTTCCCATTAGGAATTGTGCTTCATGTTCATTTTTATGCTCCATCGATCTGCCGCTTTTATTTGTTTTTATTTATTATTTTTAATGCTAAATGGCCAATTAGGACACATTGTGGACATGGGATACTTGCAAAAAAAAAGCAGACCTTCAACAACAACAGTAAAAACAATTAAACAATATAAATAATTAAGAAAATATTCTATTAAATAAAATACTAATTTGAAATAAGATAAAATAAACAATAAATAAAAAGACAATGTACAAATAAAATTAATTAAAGTTATATTAATAGCTTTAATTAATTCTTAATATTGTAGCTATTATATGACATGGCATACCAATACTTTATCATGGTCTAATAACACAGTAATAGGCAACAAAGGCAAAAGAACTGCAATAAGCAAAATGTAAAACGTAAAAGTAGAAAAACCTAAATATTTGTTCCGCTGTCGTCAAGCTCACATGAATCTGTGTCTTTGTCAGGACATCGAGTACATCCGTGCTCACTACAACATCGAGAGCTTCATCTACTTTAGCCACCATGGCTACGATGAGCACGCTCAGATACTCCACTTCGTCCTCAAAACCACCGTCCAACACTTCTCCAAGAACTTCTTTAAGGAGGTTCTCCGGCAGGCTCGCAAATCCTGCCTGTACCTCCGAATCTACCCCCTCTACCACAGCCAGGAGGTGAGTGCACGGGGCTTCCAGGTCCTTGCTTAGCCCTTAACCACTGGGCCACTTCCAGCTGGGGTGCAAGGCTGCTCATTAGTGTAACAAACTAACGAGTGCACGCTGTAAAAAGTGTTTAAAAAAAAAAAGACAAATCCATTTTACACAGATCATGTGACTATAAAACCCCAGTCTAGGTAGCAAGATAGTGCATGCACAGGTAGTCAGTAAAGGTACACAATCAGTCTAGACGAGGGGTGTCAAACATAAGGCCCAGAGGCCAGATTTGGCCTGAGAGTCCGGCCCACAGGTTGGCTTTGGAAAAAGAGTGCATATAGATTTTTAAGTTTTAACCGTGTTTTCATAAGCCAGCTTTTAAAGACCACCTCCCCAGTTTCATTCAAACTTCCTGTTTTTTCAGTAAATGCTAAGGAAATGTCTGGGGGTTTTTTTTACAGTAAGTCCACAGTAACAAAAAACAAAAGAAAGATACAACATTTTGTGTAAATTAATGAAAACTTTACACTTTGAACTACTAGAACTTTTTCTCAATTTTGCACATTTACCATGTAGTTTCACAGGTTCAACCCACTTAAGATCAAAGTAGGCTGTATATGACCCACGCGCAACATGTCCTCATGTCCTCAAACCGTCGGTATGTCGGTTTGTTATGCGTTCTGAGGCATGAGAGCCCTTTGGAATGAATCTATACATGTAAATGTGTTTTACATTCTGATCATGAATTACTTTGGAAAACACTATCTGATAAAATAGTGCAAATGTACAGTAGGACATAATCATTGGCTGAATGCTCTCTGATGTTAATGGATTTTCAAACATTTGATACATTTGCCTTCTTGTTTTTATGACAGGTGGTTTAATAAATTCGTTAAGTAATTCGTTAAGTAATTCAGTTTGTATTAGTTCTGTGTTGGATTATCACTGATTACTTTGACTTAAGTCACAGAAAGCCTGAATAAAGGCAGAGTTAGATTAGATCATCCCTGCAGCAGGAAGGGAAAATAAGCTGTTGAAAGCCAGGAGAAACAATTTTTTTCACAACCCTGTAAAAACATAAATAAAACCAAATGTTTTTATACTGAGTTTTATTCATTTAATGGTTTCCTCTAATTCAGCAAACTTTTATTTATGGAGAGAACAGGTTGGATATGGAATTGTGCTCCGTGGCCGTCTAACTTGATCAGAGAGACGGGTTTGTGGTCGTGTTGCGCCTACCAGCAGGTCATTTTTTACAGCAGGCTGCCGGTCCCCGAGGTCGGGGCAGCAGGTGTCGACAGCGCTGCCAGCTCAACCTCTCCACGCCATAATAAGAAATTTCCTCAACGTGTAGAGACCTCCACTTTCTCTGCTAATTAACTTCCACAAACAAGCACCAGATTGGGGGATCGTGATGTGAAAATGGAATAATGGCAGAAGATAAGCAGAGAATTAGCTGTGCTTGGGCAGCGTGTGTCAGTGGTGTAACGCTTGTATCAGCTAACTCTTCACCCGAGCTCGTTATCACCACGTAGCTTTCCAGTTGCAACACCCCCCACCCCCCCACCCCCCAAAGCCCCAAACTGATTGCTGTTTAACCTCCGATGGGATTTTCCCTTTCTGTGCTCACTGATTCCATGCCCTCTTTCTTTGCACTCAGAATTCCTGCATCCACCATCTGCATTATGTCCTCAACTGCGCCGTCCCCGTCTGCCCACGACGCCAGATCATCTACCCGCTGGAGGAGCTTGGCATCAACGCCCCATCTAGGCGCCTCACAGAAGACCAGGTGGGCACAGCAGCAGCAGGCTGACAGGAAGCCTCCTGCCAGGGAGTTTAGATGGCAGGGAGCACAGCATGGTGCACATGTGGCCACCAGGCGGTGCTGTTTCAAAAGAGTTCAGACAAACTGTAGGTATGCAGGAGAAACTCACTGCTGGAGGATGAAGTGCACAGTTTGATGGAATGAACGTTCATGTTTTAGAGATGCTTCTGAGCAGCTTTTTTCCCCACACCTACAACAGTTTATCACATTCACTTTGAAACAAATGTTTTTAAACTACTCTACTGAGGACTAACTACAAAAGTTCTCCCACATTCATGTGCAAAAAAGCATGATGGACTAATCAGCACACAGTGTTTGGCTCAGAAGATGAGATTTAGTTTTTTAACTTTTAGGGAAATCCTTTGAGGATTTAACTGTCTCAGGCTCAAAGCTGGGTACACAAAGACTTCTCAGGTAAAACCTCACAAAACACATCCAAACTGTTAAACCTCCACTCAAAATAACAGATGATCATTCAGATAACACCTAGAACCAGTGAAAATGTAGTGTGTATTTCCAGTTGTGCTCCAGTTTTACAGTTTTACTGATGAGATGAAATGAAATATCAGGATACAGTAAAGACCTGAGATTGTGGCTGCAGTCCTTCTTCCTACTTCTTTTTCCTAATTCACTCATTCAGATATGAAAAAAAAGTGTTCAGCCCCACTGTCACCCTGAACTGGATAAGTGGAAGGAATGTATACTAAATCTTTGTACATTTACATTTGCTTGTATTGAATAGCTCAGAAGACTTTATAAGTGGTCAGTTCCACATTACCCCAACATGGTTATAAGAAGCATGAATCAAGTAAACCTTATGTTGTTGTTATAGAAACGTGGAATGAGGTCATTTCTTTTGTTTCTTGTCATTGTGAGTCCATGTAAACAAACATGCCGTGTCACAGATTGCCCTTCCGATTACTTCACTGCCTCTCAGTGTTTCCATCCATTGCTGGAATCAACCTCAGACATCCTCCGAACCGGCATATATTGATTAAATTACATCAGAGAACTGCTTAAGATCGGACTTCTGTGTTGTAGTTTTCCTCCAATTTTATCTTTGTGGTTCGCTTTCTTGTGTTTTAGTGTTTGAGAATGTGTTTAGAGTATTTTAGGGAAGGACAGATTGTGTCTGACTCAGTGAAAAGGGTTTAAGGTTTGTTGAATGAGTGACACATTCTGCCGAGAACATAGATGATTTGGGTCCAAGAATGGCACTAAGGTTTTTGGTATGTTTATTGTTCCAGCATCTTCTGTGGCTTCAGTCTTATAGTCTCAGTCTTCTGTCTGTTCATGTAATCCCAGACTGACTCCATGATGTTGAGACCATGCCCTGAGGGGAGTCAGACCATCTGTCGCAGGTCTGTTCTTGTAACTAAACATACAAATGAAAGGAAAACCAGCACAGAGTGTTTCAGGCAGGTGTCAGGCCATCGCTTTCCTTCAGATCAGCTTTGATGCTTTTTGAAGAGTAATACTCACCTGTATGTGTGTCAGCTCAGCACTGATGATAATAAAAAGCTGAGATTAATTATTTGAAAGTGAGAGAAAACACTTGCATTATCTTCCACGTGCAGTGTATGCTGAGCTGTCACCTGCTGCCTGATTTCCACTATAAGTTGATTAAGTAAAGGGAAAAAGTGCAACAGAATAAAGAAAATGAAGTGACCGATGCTCAAACTTTCCCCTCAGGAAAGTTTGAGCATCGGTCACTTCAAAATGAAACTAACAGCCTGGGTTTTAGTACCTTGGTTTGTCGCTCTGTTTAAGGCATATTTTCTTCTGTAAATATGAAGTGCCGCTTCTTAAGATGACTTCAGTAAAAGGTGGAGAAAAGCAGGTGAAAGTAGCCTGTGTGAATAATGGCATGGTTTCAGCTGTCAACCATGTTTGGGGCTTAAAGCCTGGCTGATTGGTTTTAACATCCTGCACTTCAAATATTTACCCCATGTTCAGCAGCGCTCTTTCCACCTGAGGCGTCACCATGTACACTAACATGTTCATTTCACTCCATCACCCCCCTCCCCTCCCGCCAGCCCCATGCCAGTCATGATTTCCACGCTGCCTGATAACAGCTTTGACTCTGAGATCTTTGTCCCAGCCTCCTCCCGATGTCGGCCCCGGGATGATTAATCAAATTTAAAGCACCTGTTCCCTCTCTGTCAATACGGGATCATGTTACGCAGTGCCGTGGTCATTGTGTGCGGCAAAGGTGAGGCACCTCCAGCGCGATAAGAGCGGCTGCACCTGCTCCACCTCACATGCAGATGAGACGAGAGCTTTGTTCATCTGATTACCTCATCTGGTTAATTCCTGCAGTATTCAGAATGATGCATCTAGGCATTTAATTTTTCCAGTATATGATAACATATGAAGGGTTTTTACATATAAAGTAAAGCTCAGTTTCAATAAATGTCGACCTACAGCAGCTGCGTGAGACATCAGCTTAAAACACTGTTGTCTTATCTATTTTAAAAGTTAATAGAACAGACAAACTTGAGATAATAATATGAGATGTTTTTTTTCTTCAGGGTAAAGGCTAGTCTAAATGAACCAGAAAACGGTCATGACATGATCTTATCTTCAAAATTAAGGCGCACATGATACCGGCAAGTCAGTGACATCACCAAAAAGCTGTCACAGACTTTTCAGAGCCAGTGTGCTGCTCATTTCATATTCATTTACATATTCAAACAGGATGTCCCAGTTTATATTTATAAATGTAATATAATTTAGAGAACAGTAATGCAGTCTGTTCATACTTTTTCTTAATCATCTTTCAGGTAATAAAACTTGCTTAAATTAGCTTTAGACAACTTCTCAGGAGTAGTATGTGGGAAATTATTGGACCCATGTTGGTTTTTTTGAGTGACCGTATTTGGACCAGAGAGTGGAGTTCATCTAATTCTGACAAACTTGTTATCAGTCTGCATTCATAAACTACATGGATGTAACACACAAACACACACCTGTCTGATAATTAGTGCAAAATAGCAAACCTGTAAAATACTGGAGTTTCACTCAGCAAAACAAGCACAGGCTCAGTTTGCAATAATAATCAGTCATAACAGCCATACCTCCATACCCATAACTCCAGTATCCAGTTATGACAAAATTCCCACTGGGAAGTTTTTATGCATAAAAGCATCCAAAACACTCTTTTTGCACCAGTTTTTAAACATGCTTTTTTAATACTGGTAAATCATCTTAACCCAGACATCTGGGGATCGAGTCACTTTGGAGCTTGCCTCATGTGGTCGTTAGTGGAACTGCAGATTATTGCATGAAATTAATTTTGTTTTTTAGCATCAGTGGTTGCTGCATGATTTAACCTAGTATTAACTGCAGCAATCACACAATATACATAACATATCGACTCTAAGGCTACTTTATCTCCAGTTAAGCAAAAAAATAAAAAATAATGAGCCTGTGCATTCAAAATTAAAATAAAGACAAATTGACTTTTACTGCTTACATAAGTTCCTGAGATGAAACCCTGTTTCCGACATGCTGTACAAAGACCAAATGAAAAAAAAGAAAAATACAGTTACACCCATCTATTTTGGAGCACATTTTTCAGGTTTTAACTGTACAAAAATATTCAAATAACATGAAAGTACACGCTCTCAGCTTTAATTCGAGGACCAAAATGTGGCATTAATTGTTTAGTAATCACAGACATTTTTATAAATAGTCTGTACTCAGAGGGTCGTGCAGCTGGAATAATTGCAGAATGTGGTTTGGCATTGTATTGCTAAAATTAAAATTACCCGGAGGGCTGCATACACATGGTTTAGCTTCTGCGGGATAGTTTTAATTCACAATCATGTTACTAATTAGTTGTTCCATTAAGTGTTTTTAAGCATTACACACCTCTCAACCTTTTTTGAAATATGTTGCTTCAAAACAAAAGCTTGGTATATACTAAATTACCAAACAAATTCAAAATCAAACCCGCAAAGTTTAATTTTTGTGACTTTTTGATGCTGGATTTTTCAGTGTGTGGCTTATTTATCATATAAAATAACCAAGGCTTCTTTCGTTTTCCTCCCACAGTCAAACCTGTGCCAAAACACCTCTGTGTGTGTGACAGATGTTGGGCTCACATGCCCTCGTGGAAATTTATTTAAATATCACACAAAAGTTAATTCCACCCATGCCCCCCCCC